TTTGGGAGGCCGAGGTGGGTGGATCACCTGAGGTCAGGAGTTCAAGACCAGCCTGGCCATCACGGTGAAACCCCATCTTAAAAAAAAAATAGAATTGCATGATTTCTTTACCTCTAATTTCATTGAGCAGACCCAGACCCTGGTCCATGTAGGGGCTCAATGGCTACTCTACACTACATCACAGAAATGGAATTGTCCTGTTTTGCCATTATTCACTGGGAACACTGAGTAATAGGGACACAAATGTGACAAATTATACATGTAATTCATATGAGTGTCACTGAACAAAATCCAGATACTGAGACCTGGGAGATGTCCTGCTACTAGAAGCTGCTGCAGGCAGGCGACAGCTGAATGGCAGCAGGGCTCACTGCCACCTTGTCTGGTGTGAAAGAACATTTCTGTAAGTAGACTTCATTCCTCCCAAAGCAAATGTGAAGGTATAATCCATGAAAAGAACTGCAACCCATTAAGCTACTAATTAAAATGATACATAGCAAATTCAAGTATAACTTTCATAGACATGTCAGCATACTTTAATATTTGTTTTAAAATTAATTTCAGCTATAATATGAGGAATAATCATTTTGCTCTTCAAGCCTGATGTTAAAAATTTGGTTTTAATGTGAGAGAAATATTTTTTAAATTAAGACAATTCATATGAATTCATAAACTGAAATAAGATGTTATTCTGAACTCTTAATTATGTAGTCTTGGCTATTTTATTTTAAATCAAAGACAGAGTTTCCCAGCACCGTAACGAATGTCAAAAGGAAAACCCAGTGGTTGCCCTGAGCAGAGTCGAGTAAAAACCACAAAAAAATCTTTCTCAAAGATGTTCACTTTGGGTTACAAATTACTCAAAACATGTCAGTATTGGGCATTATTGGAATTTAAATAAAAAATACTTTTCAAATGGGAAGAAGAGGAAAGATCACTATTGCTTAATACATTTTATTTGGGTCCGTCATTACACCTGCCTGAGTAATCACGGGTGGGGTTTTATTTGCAGGAGGAGAAGGTCTTCCAGAAGAAATTCTTGCAGGGCGTCCTGTCGCGGCGCGTGGACTGCTGGAGGGGCGCGCCTTCCTGCCGCTTGGCCGCCTCCCTGGCTTCCTCTCCTGTGAGGGGCCCGGGGCTGGCCTGGGAGGTCCACTCAAACCACCAAGCGAGGAACGTCAGGAGGCTGCTTTTCTTTATTTCTGTCGCTTCCTGCATATGCTTTTAAAGAGAAGCAGATGGCAAAGGAAAGAAAACTCAGCGATCTGGCTCAGGCAGCAAGCAAACATACGCAATCTCCTCCTTACTTAAAAAAAAAAAAGAAAGAAAAAGAAAAAAAAAGACCTAGAAGAATACCTTGGAGAAAACTATTAAAAATGAATCGACTTAAAAAAAAAGAAAAGATGCTCTATAGCAATAAACCCCATTTCCATTTAAAGGATGAAGATGAGAAAGTGAAGAGAATACCTTAAAGAAATTTATCTAATTAGAGAAAAGGAAAAGTAAGTTGGTCATTTTAAGTCAAGAAAAAAAACCTGCTGGTTTTGCCCCATACTCTCTGCTGAGGTCCTTAATTAGAAGAGGTCAGGAAACCTGCCATTCTCCCCCAAGTGACTGGCAGCTAAGAAGCCCCGAGGTGGAGCGGGCTAATGTACTCATTCCCCACCGTCGGCCACACTCCTGGATGTCCGCAAGTCGCCTTCTGAGACAGATGGGACTGAAACGTTATATTCTGGTTTTTCAAGTTCCTTAGAAAGCTTTTGGGAATAATCTGCTGATAAATGACCTGTCTGAAACTCATCTGTAATTTTGGAGAAAAATCCATTTTTAATGGTCAACTTTATATGCTCTTTCTTGGAACTTTTTCAAAATGGAAAAAAGAGCAATCAATCACCTCATGAAGTTATAAATCCTCACAACAGAAATGTAATGATGCCAATTACTCTGAGCCAGTGGGAGCCTGTGCTGTGTAGAATCCGAAGGCTCTGGAAGTCCGGGTGACTAACAAGGGCTGTGGCAGCTCTACGCCTGCCCTCAGTGGACTGGCACACTCGTTTCACCTTTCCTAGATGCCCAGCAGAGAGGGGCACTGGCATGAAGGGCTCTCCTTGAGCTGCGCGGGCTTCCAACATGCTTCATGGGTCAGGACAGGTATATGAAGATCAGCAGACTGAACGGGACATCCCAGTACCTCGGGCCAGCCAAGAACACTACGAAGTTCAGCCCTGTGTCCTATCCAAGCTGTGAAATCCAACACACGCACACACACACACTCACCATGCAGGCCAAAAACCCAACAAGAGAGTGGGCAAGCGTGTGGCCACGTTGCATCTGTACTCACCTCGCTGCCTGGGTCGATGGGGCCACCGTCCAGGGACAGGGCCGCAGTGGCCGTGGCCCCGGAGAGCAGCAGCAGCAGGAGGCCAGGGGGCAGCGGCATCTTGGGGGCCGACTGGAGCTTCTCTCCCACCCTGCTGCTGCTCTTCCTCCTGTCAGCCCTGAATCAATGTTTTGGGGACTTGGGTCTCTTCTTTGGAGCTTGGTGGGTATTTTAAGCTGAATCTCCAGCTGTTTTTTGTGTCTATACATGTCTAATGCCTGGATCCTCTTCCCTCACGCAGTGACGCAGAAGCTGGAGCAATCAGTGCCCACAAAAGCGCTTTGGGATTGGATTTAACTCCTTAATTAAAGCTTCAGGTCTTTTCCTGTGTTTAGAGCGCATTTGCTCTTATTTTGGAACGCATGTGCGCTTGCTGCTGAAGTTCTACTTCCTCGTAATTATGCCTATAGCAGGCAGGAAGCCGTGAGAACAAAAACAAGTGATTTAACATAATATAAAATTAGGCTTGGATAAGGAGCTTGAATGTGAAATTGTGCCCATGTGAAAGTATGACTGAAACTCATCCAGTAATTTGAGAGAAATTCTTCTACTACAGGCAGAGAAACAAGGAGGCAATGGGGGCTCAGAGATGCTCTGATCAAATCCACTAGTTTCACCAAATTGTTGGCAAGGAGGCCCCAGGAATTGCTCCCAGCACTGCCTCTCAGCCCAGCAGGCCAGACCCACCATCCTCTAGGCCAGGCCTTCTCAATCTCAAGTGCAGACAGGTCATTTTGCAGGCAGGTCCTGATGTGCTGCAGCACGGACGAGCTGAGAGCTGCATTTTCAACAAGCAGCACCCAGGCGCTGCCGGCCCTGGGGCAGCCCTGGTCCAGTGTTTTCTGTTGTTGTTGGTTTTTTGAGACAGTCTGTCGCCCAGGCTGGAGTGTAATGGCGTGATCTCGGCTCACTGCAACCTCCGCCTCCTGGGTTGAAGCAATTCTCCTGCCTCAGCCTCCCAAGTAGCTGGCATTATGGATGCGTGCCACCATGCCCAGCTAAATTTTGTATTTTTAGTAGAGATGGGGTTCCACCATGTTGGCCATGCTGGTCTCAAACTCCGGATGGTCCAGTGTTTTCTTTTTTTCTTTTGAGACAGAGTTTCGCTCTTGTTGCCGAGGCTGGAGTGCAATGGCTCAATCTCAGCTCACCGCAACCTCCACCTCCCGGGTTCAAGCAATTCTCCTGCCTCAGCCTCCTGAGTAGCTGGGATTACAAGCATGTGCCACCATGCCCCGCAAATTTTGTATTCTTGGTAGAGACAGCGTTTCTCCGTGTTTGCCAGGCTGGTCTTGAACTCCCAACCTCAAGTGATCTGCCCGCCTCAACCTCCCAAAGTGCTGGGATTACAGGCATGATCACTGCTCCTGACCACCTGCTCATGGGTCATTGGCCAGTACTTTTCTTTTCTTTCAAATGAAATCGAAATTAGTGTACCTCACCCCGAGTAAGGATAATGTTTCGCATTGTGTGTGTGTCGCCTGTGAGACGTATCGGTACTGCAGGACACAGTCTGGGAAGCAATACCCAGCCCTGCCCTTGGCCAGCTCCCAGGGTTCGCTCTCCTCCTGAGGCCAGAGCCACTGCTGAGAGCGCAGGACCCGGGGCGCCTCTCTGTGCCACCCACTGGCTCTTCCTCACAGGCCCTCATTGCTGGACCACACAGACAAATGCACAGACCCCTTCGCCCAATTGGACAGTGTGTAAAGTCTGAAACATCTGCTCAAGCCTACTACAGATGACCAGTGTTCAAGGTAAGGCTCTAAACTGAAGTAATGTACCCCCAAACTGACAGCACTTTCTAGAAGGGAACATACTTGTTTTCAGTTTTCCCAAGTCCTGGTTTACCGCTTCACAAGGCAAATCTCAATTGTGAATTTAATTTGTCACAGTTTTTTTGCTTATGTTAAAATCCTAGGTAAGATCAGCATGGCCTGCTGGCCAGAGGCTTATACATCATATGTTGCTTCATCTTTTATTTCTGTACCAAAATAATTCCCACAAATGACACTAAAATTTTGAGTTACTCTTACAGATGAGACAGTCACAGCAGCTCTGCCAGCTTTTGTTTTTGAGATGAGTCTTGCTCTGTCACCCAGACTGGCCTGCAGTGGCATAACTTCAGCTCACTGCAACCTCCGCAGAGATCGAGACCATCCTGGCCAACATGGTGAAACCCCATCTCTACTAAAAATACAAAAATTGGACAGCTGGGAAGATGGCGGTTGCATGCATGGTCACCGTGGCGGCCTGGGTACCTTGTCGGAGCTGGGGCTGGGCAGCTGTCCCCTTCAGTCCCTACCGGGGCCTCAACATGCTGCTTGCACCAAAGCCTCAGTGGGTGCTATGGTGGCTCCCAGCTTGCAGACAAAAGACATCATTCTCTTTCCTTCATTGACCAGACCCTCCAAACCTGGCTTATAAAAGGCTAAAAGGCAAAAGTCCAGGAATGTTATCTTCATCCCTGGCTATATTTCTAATATGAATGGCACAAAAGCATTGGCAATTGAGGAGTTTTGCAAATCTCTAGGTCACGCCTACATAAGGTTTGATTACTCAGAAGTTCAGATGGTAACCTGGAGGAAAGCACGCTGGGGAAATGGAGAAAAGATGATCTTTCTATAATTGATGACTTAGCTGAAGGGCCACAGATTCATGTTGGATCTAGCCTCGGGCAGTGGCTTATGCTTCATGCTGCAATTGCACGACCAGAAAAGGTTATGGCTCTTATTGGTGTAGCTACAGCTGCAGATGGCTTAGTGATACAGTTTAATCAGCTTCCTGTTGAGGCAAAAAAGGTGTGTGGAGCATGCCATCAAAATACCATGAAGGAGTTTATCACAGTCGGTACAGTTT